GGATTTCGACCAACTCCTCAAGAACATTGGCTTGAGATGTCTGTCACGGATGGATTGCCCAACCATTCCTGAAGTGACAATAGACTTCCTTGCCACCTTGGAGTTCCGTTACGAGAATCCTAACACACCGGTCCCATCTGAAGGTCGCCTCTACTTCAAGGTTGGACATCAAGCCTATACACTCTCCATCCCTGAGCTATGCCAAGCTTATGGTCTCAAGAAAGCCGACGACTTTTGGGACCTACAATGTCGAGTTCCCAGCCTTCAAGAAAGCCGACGACTTTTGGGACCTGATCAGCAATGAAGACTACAAGGCCAACACCGCCAAGATCAAGCGAGTAAGGAGCCTGGTGCTGAGGTACACTCTAAAGCTGATTGCCAACACGTTTAGTAGAAGATCTGTTGCTCCTACGGTCACGAAGACAGAGCTGTGCTTCCTGTTCCAAGGTGTGAAGCACTTGGTGTGTGATCCGGATACAAAGGACGAGCCCATGGAGGATGAACTCGGCGATGAAGTGAACTACGGGTGTGTGCTTGCGGCTTCCTTGGTGAAAATACAAGGCTTATGCCTTGCGGTGCAAGGCAACTTCTTCTTACATTGGCGGTTTCCTTACTCCTCTGTTCGTGCAAGCTGGTGTGCCCATTCACGACTTTGCTCACGTCCCAACCAGAGCTTTCAAGGATGAGGCATACATGAGGAACACTGACAGCTTGGGACGCACGTCAGCGGAAGGGTTCTACGCCTACCTCTTCATAGACGACGAAGATAAGAAGAGAGTGTGCATCCTGCCCAACAAAGATGAAACCGAGCTGCTTGGTGTTGGGAACATCGAGTTCTTGCCCACGGAGGAAGAATGCTTTGCCCCTTTAGGAGGACCACCTGCATCAGCGATTGCCCCTCGTCAAAGGTCAGAGTCTCCAGCCACGGAAGATGAGATGCTCGAGGCCTACACACTTCCCAAGCTAGACTTCGAGCCGAAGACAAAAACCGAGAAGTTCCTAGCATCGGTTGTGGAGATGCAAAGGAAGATCAACAAGTGGCAAGGCAAGATGCTCAAGAAGCTTGGAAAGAAGGTCAAAGCACTTCAGGGAGGCTCACCTAAGAAAGCTGCGAGCCAAGAGGTGCAACAACCCGAGAAGAGAAGGCTCTCAACCGGTGGAGTTGTCATCCGCGAGACCCAAGGAACCACCATCCAGCCGGCGCGCCACTCTCTCCAAGAACCAGCCGACAAGGGCAAAGCAACAATCTCTAGCTCCTCTGGAACATCCTCAAGTTCCAGCCGAGACTAGACCAGAGGTAACAACCTTCTTCCATTGTACATAACCGCTCATATTTGCTTCTTTTTGCTTTGTGTTTTGATGCTCCTTCGAATGAGTTTGCCACCGGGACAGTGTCAAGCAAGTTTGGGGGAGTACATGTGTGATTTGACTTGTGTTTTGTGATCTTATTTTCCTTTAGCATCCTTGAGTCTTTAGTTCATGAAAAATTGGTAAAATTTTTAAAATTTTTTCAAAGATTCATGTAGTTGCATTCATCTTTTTAAAACATGTTAGGATTGAGTCTAGAGTTTGTCATAGCATCTAGGTTGTTTGCATTTTGCATAAGGGGTTAGAATTTCTTAAAAAAGGTGTTTTTACTTATGAATTGTTTCAATGCCCTAGTTAGTAGTTCTCTAATGCTTTGTCTATGCTTTGAAAGTAAGTTCTTACCATGCTTGGATCACTTGTTAGGATTTTCGTGGCTTAAATTGAACTCTCATGATTTGAAACTCATCCTAATAAGTGAGAAACTTAATTTGAAATTCTAATTATCATCCTTATGCATTTGAAAATAAACACATGGTTTTAAAATATTTAGGCTCTCTTCTTCCTTTTTACCACTCTTTGTGAGCCTAAGTAGAACTCCCTCCTTGAACCTTACCCTTCTTTGAAGCCAAATGTTCTTGTGTGACATCTTTGTGAGGCCTTCCTTTCGGTTTGAACTTGGCATAAAGTGTTAGGTTTAGGCGACATGATTTGGTTTTCATATGATTGCTAGCTTTGCATTTTGAAGCTAGGTATAGGCTTAGGATAAGTTTGGGGGATCATTGGGGTTGCTTTCTTGCCTATTTGTTCTCGGTTTCAAAGAACTTTGTGTTTTAAAGAAAGAAATGGGTTTTAAGCGAAAGGTTGTTTTTAAAACTAAGTATGCTCTAATAAATTTCAGGAGGTAGCTCTCCCATAATAAAAAAAAAGAGAGAAAAGAAAAGAAAAAGAAATAAAAAGAGCCTAAGTGCCAAATAAAGAAAAAAAAAATAAAAAAAAATAATAATAATAAGAGAGCTACCAATAAGAAATATCTAAAGAGCAAAAATATTTTTCAAAACCTTTTCACTAGCCTAAAAAGTTTAAAAGTGTTCTTGTTTCGGATTAGGGGTTGCTAAGTTTTGTGAAGAAAAAGGGTAGACTCTTAAGTGGTGAGTGAGGATAAATTTGTTAAATGAGAGGGGTATATGATCGTTTGTTAATTTACATGGGTAGATGAGAATCTAATCATGTATGCATAAATTGTCTTTACCTTTAGCATTATGCACAAGTTCAGTCATTTTTGAGAGAAACCCTTCTTCTAATTATAAGCCATTTTCAAATGAGATCATTCAATGCTCATAACCTTCACCCTTAGCCAAATGTGTTTTGCTTTAAAGTGCATAAGTTTGATTCATAGTTCGAATGTTAATGAATGTTAAAAGATGAGTTTCTTTGATTGTTAGGAATAGCAGAGTCATGATTTGAATTTCTTTGTGTGATGAGTATGGCTAAGTTCTTTGGAGAATGAGTGTAAGCATAGCATTTTAGAACTGTTAACTAGGACATTGAGATTGATTCATTTGAAAGGCACCTTTGCAAAAAGTTTAAACCCCCATTCATTTTTCGGAAAACCTCTCTTCCTTACTTATTTTTTGTTGCTTGAGGGCAAGCAAGAAGTAGGTTTGGGGGAGTTGATGTTATTGCATATTGCATACATTTTGCATACTCATTAGTTAGTTTTTCATGCATTTGTATCACGTTTTAGGTTAGATTGCATCACTTAGGGTCCTAGAGCATTCTTGCATCAGCATACGTATTTTCCTTGCATTTTGCATCATATTCAGGTTGTTTCTGGCTGCTTTGGAGTCGTGGAGGTTCGTGGACATGTTGAAGCTGATGTAGCAGTTCGGGGGAGCTCGGATATATGCTAAGGATCAGAGATCGAGGAGCAGATCGGGCATGGCCAGTCGATCTAGGAGTTGATCGCCAGAAGATCGAGCCAACCAGGCGATCCAAGGAGAATGATCGAGAAAAGGATCGAGTGAAGCAATCGATCAAACGGTACGGACGTAAATGACGCCATGCAGAGCGAGAGTCTGATCGAGTACACCACTCGATCCAGCCAAAGATTGATACCGAGATCGGATGCAACACTCGATTTGCCGATGATGATCGAGACCCAGATCGAGCCAAAGACACGATGTCCGGATTTGATCGAGAGAACCGCTCTATCTTGGAATCGATCTCTGTCCTTTCAACCGTTTTTGGCCGCTAGCGAGGGGGGGACCATCAGCTTGTTTCGACATTTTGGGAAGGCGGCGACGTCCTTTTCCCACAACAACTTTAGATCCTTATCTCTTTCCTTATGTTTTTCTCTCTCGTTTTTCGTAAAGAACACCATTGTTGAACTCGCGTTTTTCTTAAGCTTTGTAATCGAATCATTTCCGTTTCAATCTAGTTTTCTTTTCATGTTCATCGTCTCGCTTTACATGCTTTGCTTGATTTACTCTATGTGTAGCGAGTAGTTTATTTGGGTTTGGGGTTGAGAGGATTAAGGGGTCTAAAGGGTTTCGATCTTGGGGTTTTTCTAAACGTTTTCAATGGCTATCTCTTCTAAGGTGTTGAGATCTCAATGCTTGAAGACTCTCACGCCAAGAGCTTCATGATCCGAGAGGTTCCTTACCTTGACAGGATTCAGGAGCCTCGGAAGATCACACCTTAGAGACTAGTTACCCCTTCCCAAAAGCCATGGAAGTTTGGGGGATTAGTTAAGCCATTCGTTTGAAATCTGTTTTCCTTGCCCTTCGACCTCTCTTTCCACCAAAAGCCATGGGTTTGGAGGAGAGGATGAAGGAGTGATCTATACCGAAAGCCACTGATAGATCTTGCTTAGTTTTCAAGGCTTAGAGATCCTCACCAAGTGAGTCGATTTAAAGTTTTAAACCCAAGGTCGAACCTTTGAAACCCCTGACCATGAATCTCAACCCTAGGCCCTTTCTCTTAGCATCTTTACATCTTATCTCGTCTTTCGCTTGATCTCTGATAGCATCCTGGTCCTTAGTTTTACTGTTTTTGCATTTTTAGACGAGATCGATTGTTACTGCTCGATCTAATGGTCGATCTCATGGTCGATCCACTAGTCGAATTTTAATAATTCGAAGCTTTCTCCTTTAATTATTCTGTTTGTTTCTCGTGGTAGTTTCTTCTTTTCTAGTATTTTTAAAATAGGTTTCATTCCATTTAAGTTGCTGCATCTAGTTTTTAGAGATTTTCTCATAAATCATCTCATTTCGCTTAGATTTGCATTAGTCCTTGTATTCTTTGTGCATTCTCTATCATCCTAGGCATGGATTGACTCTCTCTTGCTTGCTGTACTACAACATGTCTTGCATTTGAGTTTGATAACCTCACCGCAATTTAACCCTTGCCCAAAAAAGTGTTTATCAAATTGCAAATACCTGCGAACAGCTTCGGATTGATGCACGCGCAAACGACCACATCTTCATCTTGTCATTCAAGGGTAAAGGCTTTTCTGAAATCTTGTGCTTGTTGGTCCCATATTGTTAGGCGAACGGTTTTCCCCCTTTTTTAATTTAAGTATTTTAGAAAACAATTATGGTTCGAGATTAGTATCTTATAAATGACTCTAAACAAATGTATGTAACCAGTGTTTAGAAAGATATTTAAGGTTACATATAATTTTATAAGGCTCACTATTTCAGCATGAGAAACATAACAATCTTCTGAGTGGAGGTGGTGTCTTGAAGATTTGCTCCTTGGACACTTAGTAGTTGTCCGACAACATCTGTAAGAAGTTGATGTTAAAAGTAGAGTTCGAATTCTATAATGATGATGGTCGGAGTTGATAACCTGGTAATTGTAAGTTGGTATTTGCCAATGCTAGGTATTCAGAATACTGTAATACTCTGAAACTTTCATAACTTATGGAGCAGTCTTCCTTTTCATCTTCTGTTATTTCCGTGCTGTCTGTAAATCTGATGGTGTTGTTATTGTTTGTAACCTTGTATCGGTCGTAATCTGGGATGACTTCAAAGTTGGCAATGCTATACACCTTTCCTTCTTGAAGGAAATTCCTGAAGCTTGGTACACGCCGGTGGTGGATCGATGCTTGTATGAAGGTACCCTGCAGAAATGTCTCATGTAATTAATTTCTTCGCCGATGATTGAAAGAAATTAATGTGACCCTTTTTTTGTTAGAGTGGTATTAGTTGATAGATTATTATGTACCTTGCTATCAAGTAAGAGTAGTTTGAGGCTCATGAGTTCCCCATTTTTTTGAAGTTCCGAGCTTCCTACATTCTCATCAGACGAACTGTTATTTGTTGCATTGAAGTTCCTAATGGTAGGTTGTCAACATCCATGCTACGTTGCACCTGAGTCGCTGAAATTTTCTTCTTAGCAGCCATTGTTGGTGAAGTAACGTAGTCTGCAGAGATAAGATATAGATTTATGTTACGTACGTAACAGTGTATAAAGGTACGTAATTTTTTTTAATAAAAATAAACCAATACTGAGAAGCTTAATGAGAGTGGTAGATGTTGTAATTTGGTACACATCAGTTTAAAGCATAGGGATAAATCTCAGTGTGTGGGAGGGTATTTATATGGTTTAAGAGTATTATTGGAGACTGTTGAAATGCTTTACGTTTCTTATATTTTTAAAAGTATTAGTTTCTCTCCTTTGTATTTAAGTCGAGAATCACAAATATCTAATGTTATTTATATAATTTTTTTGGCAATAGTAATTTATAGCAGCGTTTTGCAAAAAGTCATTATGAACTACTTAAGTGAGTTATTCCAGTATTGAAGAATATTAGTTTCTCTCTTCGAATTAATATATTTGTGTAAATTGACCGTTTATTATCTGTTGATATTATCTATTTTAAACATGTAAAATTAATCGGTTCATATTCTTTCTTATTTCTAATCAACCTAAAATACTTTTGTTACTGAAACCGTATATTAGAAAGTTAATATATTCGAAAGGTAGTGTATAATTTTATGATTCCGTGTATATAATTAATAAAATGAATTTAGTTGAATGAACTTTCGTCTCACATAGCATATTTGGAAAGATATATTGGAAATAATTCTAATGTATTTAATAGAAGAATATATTTATCCCATGATTGACGCACGAACTGAAATCCATGTACACTGTTATGTTGTGTTATACGATAATTCTAGTCCTATAAATAAAATTGATGTAACTGTAATTTTTGTTTGAATTCATTTATTTTATGAAGCATAGTGCAATTATAATAAATGTTAGTTTTCTTTAAGTTGTGATTTAAGTATTTGCTTAATACTATTTCTGTTTCGAAACCAGTTTGAAATTGATGTAATTGTAATTTTTGTTTGAATTCATTTATTTTATGAAGCGTAGTGCAATCATAATAAATATTAGTTTTCTTTAAATTGTGATTTAAGTATTTGCTTAATGCTATTTCTGTTTCGAAACCAGTTTGAATCCTCCCACGCCTTCACCCTCCTTAAAGTGTAATTTATAATTTACAATTATGTATATTTGTAATTAAATAATTAACTGTTCAATTTGGAACGGTTTGTTTTCTAGCCGTATGTTATGACGTTCGGATGGTAGCAGTTGATAATCTCCCCCACTGTATTTCTTAATTATTATGTAATAGAATGTTATAATGATTATGTCCTATTATTTCACTTAATAATCCAACCTTAATTGTACACCGTTCATGATTTGGTTGTCAGTATTAATTATTGAATTTGTAGGTAAACTGAAAAAAATTTCAATTGAATGAAGGAACAAATTATAAGCAGTTCAAAAAAATGCAACGTGTTTGGTATTCTAGTTATTTAACTGTTTTCATGTGTTTAAATATATAAATGGTCGGAAATTGTGTTGTTAAAAGTTGTAAACATATATTCGTTTTCGTAAATGAAGATAAAAAAGTAGATGACGGTAAAAAAGATAAAAAAACAAGTCCAGGAGAACTGAAAACAAAATGGAAGTAGAAAGAGTAGATCATTTTTATTTAAATCGTGAAGATGAACTTGATCATTTGCTTGTAGCGGAAACACTTCTCACATGTATTATCCATGTCATTTATGTTACACACATACAGAGGCATCATCACCCACAAAGAGGTCATATATTCTGGCTTGGTTATGATACCAATCCCATGAACCGAGATCTTGATATTTTTCCAGCATTGTTCAGTCAAAGCTTTATCATCCTTCCAGCGTAGCCTATCCATATAGTGTTTGCCTATATCGTAGTGACCAGTGCACAGGATGATGATTCCGTAGAGATAGAGTGCTTCATTGACAGGGACAGTTGCATCTGCCGCTTCCTTCAAATGTTTCAGGCCATCGATAGGGTTGTCGAAACGTAAATATTCTAACAAGCCTTTAATGTAGTGGGCAGCAGGGTTGGAATACAGTAAGCATTTCTGGAATAGTTCAGCGTATTTGCCAAGAGCTAGCAATGGACATTTGACAATGTCACGCAATTCCAAACTTTTGAAAACTTGTATATCTGCAGCAGAGTTTCCTAGGGCCTTGCACATGAAGATGCCATTTCGTACATCTTCTCTGGAGTTTTCACAAGCATGGGATAAGATTTTTGATAGAAGATCTGGAGGGAGGGATGTAAGAGAGGTTGAGGGTTGGATCGATCTTTCGTTGGAAAGGATAGTATGAAAATATGGTGGATGTAATTTTATAAGACGTTCAAGTTATATTTATAGGTTTTTTTTTTGTAAGGATACGTAGTTGTGCTCAAAATTTTAATTATGAATCGTGTGTAGACATTAACAATTAACTTGGCTGTTGTGTATTTTTGGGATATGAAGTGTTAGTCATCGATAATTAATATGGCCATTGTATATTTTTGGGATATGAAGTGTCACTGTAAGAAGATGTAGAGAGCATTAAACCAAAAAAAAAACAAGATGTGAAGAGCATAACTGTTAATTAGCAAAAAAGAGCAGGATGACTAAAATGCAATCATTCTGTCAATTCTGGGTAACTTTACTAGCCTGATAAAACATTGGAGTGTCGAGTAAACGATGATCGATTTATGGTGGATGACAGTGGATGTTAAGTTATGAGAATGTGATCGATAATGTGATGTGACTTTTGTATAATGTGATGGATTATTTTTCTGTTGTGTTTTAAAATAGTTGCAAAACTTTGGTAGTTCGGACAGTGTATGAACTCAAATTATATAACTTAACATATAATAACCCATAAGATTTTGTAGATTCCCGACAAGATTTGGTATTAAGGTTCAGTGCTATGTCGTAAAAATATCTGAGGGCGGTTAAAATAATTTGATTCTTAATTTGCAAAGGAAATTGTGGTAGTGAGAGATTTGTGTGGTATGTAGATTTGAGGAATGGCTGGTTTTATTAGATTAGAACATGCAGAATATTTTCAATGTGAAGTCCCATTGTCGATATTTAAAACTCACTTGCCCTACAGATTGGACAAGTTGGGTTTATATACAACCAAGTAATAATACATTCATTATGGTATATGTGAGTACATGTTAATTTGTTGATATACTTTCCACCTTCAAATGGTTGAAGACATATTGTGCATTCATCACTTTGCTCTTCATGGGTTGGCAGCTTTTTCTGATCCTGTAAACTGGCTACGAGAATGTCTCTATCGGCCATAGCTGGAGCGTGGATGTTGTTATTTGTAACTGTGAAGTAGATCTCAACGGCCGTATTCATTTGGCCTTCCGTTGTTATGACCACGGCGCTGACAAATCGAAGAAAGTATTCAGCCCATCTTCTTGCGGTGATCTCTCCAATTTCGTGGTAAGTGAGAAGAACTTCAACGTTTCTTTTAAAGACTGTAGTCTGTGTATGTGTTGCGTTTGTCGGGTACGGGATTTGGATGACGACGTCACTTTGCTGTGTATGTGGCATTCGGATTATGATATGGATTGTTGTTGATCTATGTGTATTCTGGGGCATCGTTTCATAGGAGCAAGTGTAAGATAGACCTTTTGTATCTGCCTTTTTTTTTGAGCTTTTTGTATCGAATTGTTTAGTGAGTGACCTTCACAGTATTGATAAGATCATTTTGAAATGAATTGTCTTATCGAGTTCCTGTCCTTTTTAAGGTCATGTACTTTCCATTCATGATTTATTGGGTGTACGCGCATTAAGTTGATGGTATACTAATTATTTTTCACCAGACATTGGAGTGTGTGGTTTGTAACGGTTGTTTCCGTTGCATGTAATTTGGAGGTGGGAAGATGAAAATCGAAGAGACTGGGAACTTAGGTTTTAGTCGAGAAGTTCATATCTTTATAAGTCGAGCTGTTTGATTGGCCCCCTATTAATAATGCGGCTGTGTAATGTGCTTTTTCGTAAATCACTCTTTTTAACTTCTATATTGTGCCGTTTTATAACGCTCTTAAATTTCTATTATGTAATTTGTAAATCATAATTACAAGTACTTATTGGGCTCTCAAATTGGATTGGTTTTTGTTAGATTGTAAACCACATTTGTGTGAATTAAAATTGTAATATACTTACTTGCTGAGGTAGTGGTTGTTTTATCGGGTGGAACCAAATCGCCTTTAGTTGATGTTTTGGTAGACAGAATTTGTAGTGACATTGTTTTCACTAAATGAAAACCCTTTGTTCATTTACTTGGGACTTTTGTATGAGCTATCGCTGTATTACAATTACATATATATAGATCAAAATTTGCTGTGCCTATTATTGTGGAATGAAGCTAATACTATTTTGGAAAATTTGTTTATCGAATAATAATGTAATTATTCATAATATTAATTAAATTTAACCACGATTGGAAATTTCAATTAAAAAAACACTGTTCATATACATGAAGGAGAGGAATAATTGTTCAAAAAACTGAGGGTGGTTAAAATAATATGATTTTAATTTGCAAAGAAAAATGTAGTAGTGATAGATTTGTGTAGTATGTAGATTTGAGGACAGTAGAGTTGCGGTTGGCTATAGCTGTATTAATGGGGACTATTACTGTATTTAGGAGTGTCAATCGGCGTGTTTGTTTTTAGTTGGGTTTGTGAGGATGTTTAGGGTTGTGGGTGAGATTTGAAATATTAGTATAGCATTCTCTATGATTATTTAAAGTTAAGAACACACAAATATGTTTACAATTCGTGTGTAGGGAATAGCAGGTTCACTGTATGTATGTGTTTGGTTTATATGTTTCTTTGGACATAAGAAACCATGGACAGGTGTGGTATGTATGGAGCGGGGAATGCAGGGTATGACAATCATCTTTTGCAGAACACAAAGTAGAGTAGGGTGATGATTTCTTAATTGTACAATTGAAAAACAATGTGTCCTTCAGTTGAACTTAGGCACAATAAAAGCAGAAATTGTAAAAGTAGTAAAACAGAAAACTGCAGAAATAGATGGATAGATGATTCCTAGGAAATGAAGTTGGTTGAATGCTCATGTCTAGGCCGTCATGGTTTTAAGTATAGTGCTTCTTGTGCGTAGTAGTATTAAAGGCAGGAATGGTAAAGGACGATCCTCCTGCACCCGTACAATTGTCGAACTTGTAATTTGTTGTACCAGCTACTTCGTTCTGTCGGATGGTGACCGTCGAGAAATTCGGCTGGTAAATTGTAGCAGAATGTGTGTTTTAATATATATGGGAAAAAAATTAAAGGGGATTAGTGTAAGAGTGTGGGATTACGTCGAACTCACCTGTACGTGACCCATATCGTTAGATATTTTTGCAACCGTGAAACTGCGATTCTTTGCTGAATGATTGTACGCGGTGACCTTGATATGAAAAATAAGTGTGTTTCCAAGGAGGTCATCGATTGAGTTAATCAAGTCCGGGAATATTTCTTCTTTGACCTGTTATTATAAATTATTAACGATGGAAAGAGTATGAAACATAAGGTATAATGTTTGGCCCTATGTGTTAGGAATTTTAGTTGCCGAGAAGATTTACCTTTCCACGTAATTCTTCAAACTTATGTGGAGGAAGTAAATTCCTCAACTCCTTGTCGGAGACAAGAAATGTTGCAACGTAGCTACCGTCAAGAATTGCAAACGCAACATGAAACCTGTAACTTGGTGTATGCATTGTCATTGTTTACGGTAATATGTGTCTTGTTTCGTAATGTATATCTACTAATATACCTATCATCTCTGTATGGATTGGATAGTTGGCACTGAACGCAGAGAAGAGAATTTTCATGAGCCTGAAGTTCACCTACACAAGCAGTGCAAGTCATGTGGTTCCAGCCGTAGGTGGATAAAACATCGACGATTGTAGCTTGGCAGATGAAATCGGTGTCCTACATTCATTTTGGCGTGGTTAAAATAAGCAGCGAATTATATCGGTGGTTTTCTATGAGTACTAAATATATAATAAATGTGTAGATTACCTGTTTTATTGGAAAGCCAGTGAACTCGCATAGTTTTCCAATAGTTATTGTCTCCTTTTTGTGTACTTTTGATGTTATGTCGGTAACAGTGAAAGTGGGGTTTAGTCCTACATCGAAGCTGAAAAGTAAAGAAACTAATATGTATATTTCGCCAGATATCGTAAGGTGTGTGTGTAATATATAGTACAGCATTAGGAAATAATTCGTTACGCTTTTGAGAATTTTGCTATGTAGTCGATGTTCTTATCAAAGAAAAAGCTGGAGGAAAGGGTGGAGTCCAAATATAGTCTCCCTGCTTATTTATAGATTAGGTAAATGCTAGGTAGATATGTAATTGTATGATAGATTTTATTTGAGGCGTAATACATAGGTTAGATGTTACCCATCTAGAATCGTTGGGTTGACATCGGTTACTAATACGATTGGTGTGACTTGTATTGGTGCGTATAGCAAGGAACGAAATCTGGAAGCAGCAAGACCCCACAATGATAAAGAAACAATGACGTCCCTGTTTATTTTGGGGATAAATTAGTAAGGCGTACAATTGTTAACTTGATAACGTAAGTATGTGAGAAATAAAGTTTAGTTGATTGAATAGTGTATTACGGTTGGAGTTGCAATCGAAGAAGGATGCGGTGGGTGGAAGTCGGATTGTACAGATTTGTTCCTTCCACATATAGTATTTTTCCAACAATATCTGTGTACATAATTGTGAATGTATGTGGTATTAGTGTGTTAAATGGTGCAGATATTGAATTGTTTAACAAAAGCAACAAATAGTGAAATAAATTGTAGTACTCTAAAATATCTGGGAGAGCGAGGTTGGTATTAGCAAATGCAAGTAAATGGTCATGTGTGTGAATCCTGAATTTGTCTTTTCCGATCTTAATCCAGTTTGTGGGAAAATCAACAAAAGTTGTTTGGTCAAGGAATTTGATGACAAATGGATGATCTGTGATTTTGTGGTGTGTAGTGCACGGTTTGACTTCAAACCCACCAAGTTGGAAAATAGTCCCCTCCCTTAAAGTGGAGAGGTGTTTTTGGGCAAGTGGTGATGGTATGAAATAATGGATTGTAGATTTCTGTTGATAAGTAATATTGTTAGAGTAGATCATTTGGGTAATAAACACATAAGTACGATAAAATTTTTGGGTACGTATTGGTGAAACAGTTAATTTCTAATTGTTAAAAACAGATAGAGGGACAATTGTATAGACTACCAAGCCGGATATGGTCCAACGAAACAGAAAATATGAATAGAGGATAAAATGTAACAAAATACATAGATTTAAACAAATACCAAATACCTTTTCATCAAGCATGACCATAGAGATTCCGATGAATTGGTGTCGATTGTTTTCACTACGCACTTCCCACGATCTGATAACACGTCCAACAACATGCTGCGGGTTTAGGCCGAGAGATAACTCATCAAAGGTGACGTAAGGACCTAGGTTTTAAGATGAAGAAGCCATTGTGAGGAACGTATAGTAAGAGAAATGTAAGTTTGCGAACCCTTTTTTTTTGGAGATTGTAGGTTAAGCGAGTATGTGTAGGAGAAAAGTAGCATTTATACTGTTTTAGTAACCGATGTAGATTTAATACCTCAAATAATGGCATTCATGGAAGGCAACTTTTGAACTTGTAAGGTTGGCACCGGTTTTATTATTTTAAGGAATTGGGAGAAGTTAAAGAGTTCCCCAGTACAACAAATACAAGTGGCTGCCAAGTTAAAACTGACAATATTGAAGATGAAGGTGGGGAGCCTCCCTTATCTCTTGAGCTTGTTCATTTATGTGAACAAACTTCAACTGCTATTGTAGTGCTTCATGAGATTCACTGAGGTAGGAAGGACCTATAGGACAATAAAAGAGGTCGGAAAATTCATTATGAAAATGTAGTGGAAGTCAACAATCAATGTTAAGAAATACATATTTAGTTGAGAAAATAACAAATAGAAGGCCACGAAAGTAAGAGAAGTCCTTTCTTATTGTGTAAATTTTCATTTCTGTAATTGAGGATACAACCATTTTTCCGTAATTATGAAACCTAAAAACATATGTTATTTGGAGAAAATATGATTTAAAAGGAAAAATGGACCAGAAAATATGGTTACAAAGTTGAGGTGGTGAGAAGAAATTTAAGTTGCTGTAATGTGGCAAATATAAAACTATTTCATAGTATAAGATTTGTTGTCCCATTTGATGATGTTGATTGTGGCGGTGCACATGTTTGAAGATTTCTTGATGGTGTCTGAAATTGGAGGAGAACCATTTTTTTTATTAAACGTTAGACTCGTAACAATCTAATGGAAATCTATACTATAATTTCAAAGTAATAAGCTAAGGTGGACATAGTATTGGCGAAGCTAAACTTTATGAGGATTTCTCAATTTGCGGCGAACCATAATTTAGAACCAAAGTTCATAACTTATGTAGTTACCATTTAGTGAAGCTGGAAATTTGCAAAGAGACCACTTAAAGTGAACCTCCCTAGATTTTTTGTTCACCATCTGATTGAAAACATCGAACCAACTTACCTCATTATTGGGATGAATGTGTAGCTCTCCAATATACTGGTAAAGAGAACGAACCGAAGCAAACATCTCTCAAGTGTGGGTTGTTAATTCTGAAATTTTTGTCTCCATCTTCAATTACACCTTTTAATATCGTCGCTGCGAACAATTTTAAAAATATTAGCGTTAACAGAACAATAGTTGAACAATAAGATCCGATATACACATTGCGATAATTACAGTTCCCAATTTTATCATCTGAGAAGAAAGCGAGACCCTTACGTTCATGTTATTCTGAGGGAAATAGCTCCCTTGTAAAACGGAGAATCAAAAGCCCAAACCCCTTAATGTGGAGCCTTTTTTGTCTTCCACACGCACTGAATTGTGAAGCATAGGCACTGAATTGAGGTTTTCAAGCAGCACCGGAGTTTATCTGTGAATTTAGATGGGTCCGTCTGCAGTATGTGAAGATGAAAACTTTGATTATTTGCAAAAGAGAGTGAGGGAGGTATGATTTAATAAACCAAAATGAAAGGGTTTTGAGTCACTGAAGAATTATCTGAAGCTGATTCCTTAGATCCGGAGATGGGCTGGAGCTTTAGGAATGCGAAGGGGAGGTTACTGGTGGCGAGTTGAATCGGAGGGTTTTGGGGTTTTTTTGGGTTTCGGAAGATGATGGTGTTTGGTTATTTTCACCTGGAAAAGCATAGATTTAATCGTACAAAGAAGAAGATGATGGTGTTAGGATCTATGGTTCTCTGTTATTGAAATGAAGCTTAGGATTTGATCGGAAGAGAGACGGCGTCGATAGCATCGGGATTTTAAGATTTCTCTTCATAATATAAGATATGAAGACACGTGGCGCTCTCTCCAGTGCTGACGTGGCAGTCAGCTGAAGAGAGTTAACCTTCTTTTATATTATAGATTTCACTTCTCTTTGAACCAATGATGTCCTTCCACATGGCAGTTTTTATGTTAATCTACACGAGAATAAGTTTTGTTTTGGTCCAAACTCAGATATTATTATTGACACAAAACTATACTTCTATCAATTTCTTTTAAGACGACGTCACATGGCGTTAGCACCAAACCTTGATCCTATTCCTTATCGTTTACGCTTTCTCAAACGCTTCAATTCTTTCCACTTCATTGTAACGATGATTCATATTCCTCGAACTCTTTGTAACATCTAATTACCACTGAAATCAATGTATCTTTCAAGCGTCACTTTCTCTTTGCACTTTAATTCTCTCTTAAACATTCAATCGATTAACCCTAGGGCAGCCACGGCCCACAGCTTAATGAAACAAACCTGGTCTTCGTTTACCTGAAGCTAAACAAATACTTCTCAGAGATTTCTACAAAAAGATGCATGAAGTAGACCAAAGAGAGAAGCAGCCTACTGATGGAGGAGAAGAAGATCTCAGAACGAATGCAGAAGTTAGAAGTAATAAGATGGCAGAGTAGAGTAGAACCATCGTCTTTAAAGGCAAAACTTCATAGTTGCATGTTCTAATGAATATCTTACGGTAGATATTTAAGATGGTACTCTCTGAAGCGGCAAGATTTTCACCAACTTCAACATCTTTTCACTTCATATGTTTCTGCCGTACATAATAATCATCTTCTTTATCATTAACTTCTGTAATTCAGCTATTTGGGGCAGTGAAATAGGGGCATCCATGATTTAGTGTTTTTAAAAATTGCTTCATTTAGTTTTGCTTAACCAGTTCACTGGGATAGTTTTCTAGAGTGTTTGCTGATTTATCGCTTTTTCACTCTGTTAGAGGTTAGCAAAACGACCAGCCATGCTTTGCTCTTTCGCTAAATATGGTGAAAGTCTATGTATGTAACCAAAATACTATGTTGTCTGCAAACCAGTTTTTACATCTGAAAGCTTATATCTAAAAACAGGTTGTTCTTATAATTAATTTGCTATCTTCTTCACTTTCATTCAACAGCATAAAGATCACACTTACTCTCATATAAGCATGACGAAGATTTGTTTGTTGTCAAAGGATCAAAGTTCCTCTCTTTATACTTCCAAAAGACTTCTTGGTTGCTTTCATCTTCCCTGTAAGTAGCTGCTTTTGATCTCTTGATTCTCTCATGTGCTATACTAAGCATCTCAGAATCTGGATTCTCCTTATGTATAGAGAAAGAGTGTAATTTAGTATCAGCGTTCTTAAAAAAGGTGATTGCATGCAACTGTACGTTTCTGCTTTTGATCTCATGATTCTCCAAGTATTATTGAGTCTTCATTCTCCTTAAATGCAGTAAACCAGATGCAGAGTATAAATTTAGGGTGCCTAGTTCTTACACTTATAGTATCAACTACTGCCCTTGACCTTTAATATTAGCAGTCCAAATCACTCAATCAGCTCTTAAGCATCAGGACTAACTATATATATATATATATATATGATGCTATTTAATATTAATGTATGCAGTCCAATCAGTGATTCGTTGGTCCTAATTGTTGCTCCTACATACATGAACAAGCCCCATTAATGTTAGTTTTCTAAGGTATTTTTTTTATAAACATTTTAATCATGTCTATATGAATATATGTATTGTCCTATTTTTTGCTCGGGATATTCATCCTCTATAAATCGTTTTCACTTTTTTGGCTAACAATGTCTCCTTTACTCGCCATAGCTAATATGTGATTAGCTAAACTAAATATATTTAGTTTAACAGGAGCTAATACATCTACATCTCAGTGCATTTATGGTCTTATCTTTTTAAACTTAATTTACAAATCACTCTCTCACTACATATGAAAAAGGAAATCAGAGTCTTGCTCCTGCCAGTTTTGTGTGTTTGTTTACAGCTATCCGTGGAACTGGAGTGCTTAGTCAGAGCTGCAATTTCTGCATATGTACGCTGATTCCTATCATGGTAGCATTAACCCAAGAAACCTCTAGATGAAAGAGATTTTTCTTGCCAATAAATCAGAATGCATAGTGAGTTTTTGGTGAGTACGCCTATTTGCAATATATATTCAGTTTTATTAATTACATCGAAGCTCAAATAGAAAAAGCTCAGTGCAGTCTTAGAGAATTTGAACAAGTTGAAATCATGTCTAAAGAACGAGTGAGAATGATCTGTATCAGACCTGGTAGCGATCATATTAGTATGTAAGTGTCCTGTGTGCAAAAAAGCATGTGATGTATTGAGATACATTGCGCACAAGTATTTTTTAATTGGTAGTTATAGACATGATGAGTCTTGCTGCATCATTCAAAAGTATTACAGTTTAAAATAGCAGCACATAAATGCAGTCATGTATTTATAGAGAGCTTTAAAACTGAACAAGAAGTACTTAGCTGGGTGGGCTCTGTTGTGCCATGAAAATGTGGGGATGAAGAAAATTTATGCTTCCATTGATGCACATCGACGAGCTGTTGATATCAACTCTTTAATTTGTGATTATTGAGTTTGGTGTTCGAGAATCCGGATTCTTTAATAATTTAAGGTCGAGGATAGCCATGACTAAATGTTATTAAACCGAACAGCTTTACATGCTTGAAGCTGTGTTTTACTTCAAAAAGGATTATAGAGAATATAATCTGAAGTATCAGCCATGTTTCGATTATGTATATACAATTGTATAGACACACACGTAAGTGTGTGAATTTTAGATTATCTATATACAATTATATAGTTTCAAATAATACGGAGAATGGAATCCACGAATTATATGTCATAATGGCCTTATTGTTCAATAATATGCTCATCATGAGTACAACTCTTTGCTATTTGATTGTTGTTGAAAAACTCTCTCAGGCACAGTTTACGAAGGGAAGTTTACCCGCCAGTCCGAACGCAGCTTCAAATCTTACCCATTTTTTCTTTCCATTTTGGGAAAGTTGACTTCGACAAACCGCGGCTGGTTTTGGCAATTCCGAGGTTCAGTCCCTGGCTGTTATG